GTTTCCTTACTCAGCTAAATAGAAATTTTCAAAGGAAATTCTGTTTAAAGATATGATATAATACCATATGGTCCTGGTTTCTAGAGAAATTCAATTTAATAAGTTGTGTAAATGAGTTTATTAAAGTAAACTTACAAATCTCTGTAGTTTTTTATAAATAGAAGCAAACTAGTTCATTTGAATTACTATATATCTCCCTAGCATTTTTAATGCAAGAAAATGTGTTTGTAAATATAATCATTCTTTCTCAGGGGATACTAATTTACCATGCTCCCATATCAACTTAAAATCTTGTATTCTACAAGACACTTTCATATAAAATATCAAAGTTAAGAAAAATTTAGGCTCAAAAAGAAGTTTTTGGTAACTACAGAAGTTTTTGGAACATGTATAATTTCATTTTACATTCTCAACTTTTCAATTCTATTTATCTTAAAATTTGTTTCACAAAATGTTATATGGCTATAATTCAACATTACTGCATAATGTATTTGAGAAATGTCTGGTAACTTTTTTGTTATTAGGTAATTTAATGATTCAAATCTCCTGTTACTGTTTTGATGTTAGCACTTAAGCTACCTTTTAACGCAAAACAAAAACAAAAATCTTTTTCAAAAAGTATTGAAAAGGTTTACCATTTTCATTTTGAAGATGGAGAAAAAGTAGGGTAGGTTAAAAGATCTGTCAGACCGCATGGTTGAATCTTTAAAAGATAAGTAATGCTTTTGTATCAATTCCTACGACACTGGAAAACATCAGGCTCCACCAGGGAGGTAATAGCTCTTCATATTTCTAGAGCCAACTAAAGTAAAAATTAAAAGAAACCAATTATAAAATCCATGTAAAAAAGAAAAAATAAGTAGCTCCTCATCAATTGAGAATTAAATAAGACTGATTAGTTCTTTATGTGCGCAGCTGAATATGCCATTTAAACACAAGGGCCAAGCTTATCTCATGTTTGTTTTCTTCGAGTGGCTGCATATAGATAATGGCTACAGGGAGAACTGACTTTACAGGTACACAATCTAGTATCACAAGCAGAACATCATGGCACCAAATTCATACCTCTGTAAAAGGGGAAAGTTGTAAAGTGACAGTAAACGAACTGTGAAGTGCGAGGCTGAAAAGGAAAAACTCATACAGCCACGCACAAAAACAACCACACACAGACTTACTCTAAGAGTGCTTCCCGTTAGACTGTGCTGGTTATGGACTTCCACAGGGACTGACGGACACTGGCAGTCATTTCCTTTACTGCCATGTCTGATCACATGCAACCCTGTGCCCTCCACTTCAGCACCTCGGCTGCCGGAAGATGCACAAGACACAAGGCTTGTTTCTCATTAGACTCCTCAGGATTCTGCAGCTGTTGACGGTATAGGTCATACACAGTAACCACTGGACCAATACTACACTGCTTAGGTGTCTTCCATGCTCCAGTCAGAAAGAAGACACACAAAATTCCTTATTAGACAGTTGGAAGGAGTGCATGGGAAATGGATTTTCATGTCACTTATCTTGGGAGAAGATCCCTGGCTTCAGGGCAAAGTTTAGAGGAGCAGTACGTAGTTACTAAAGACTAACTGGGTTCCAAAGCTCATTATTGGCTAGATTCATATTATTTTACAGGTGTGTTACAAAGTAGATATTTAAGAAAGGTGAACATATGATCCTATACTTTTACAAAGAAAGAAAAAAAAATCACCATTGTGTATGCTACTCAGGTACTAAAAAGGTAGACTCAATGAAATTACTTTTCACCATTGGTTTCAGGATATAAAATAATTAAAATTAGAACATGGCAAAAAAATTACATTATAATTTCATGACCTCTGCCTCCCGTGAAAAATACAATCTCACATAGGCTAATCATATTAGAGTATAATATTTATTAAATTTCATCATTTATGATCACTTTGTTATAATTAAATTAACCTGACATAAACCTTCACATTTAAAAACACAGAGAACATACTGATTTTTCAACTATTTTACCTACATATACTTTTTAATTCTCATGCAGTGCTCATAATTAGGAGATACTGTACATCAACCCTCCCATAATATGCTTATTAAGAACCAAGTTCAGAGGGTAGAAAAATGCCAACATAAACTCATTCTCCAAAAACTGCCCACAGATATATTAAGCCACTGTTTCTTCTAATTATGTACTTATGGTACATTCTTCTGTAAAATGTATAATTGTAGTCATATAACCGTAGTTATGACAAGCCAATATTTCAAGAAGGGATTACAACAAACAAGACCAACAGTTGAAGAGACCAGAGCATATAAAAGTCATCTGAGAACACCACACACACACTTTGATGTTTTCCACTTTCCAGTTGAAAAGAACATGCACAAAGTCTTCTTAGTAGATAGCTGTCAGGAGTGCACAAAAAATTGGCTTTCACGTCATATATGTTGAGAGAAGATCAACGCCATTGAGGAAAAAGAGTTGTGTTCTTTATCTTTTAGGTCTGTCTATATCATCTATAGCTGCTAGAAGTTTTTGTCTTGCTTTCTTATTAATATGGGATCCCAGGCAAACATTCACCAGATTCGTCAGCTGCTTCGTTGAATATTCCTGCTCAAAGAAGGAAGATCCAAATTTAGTACACTAAAAGACATGTATCTGATCAATGCAAAAAAAAGAACAGGCAGATATCTAGGAATCAGTGAATAGCTACTGAGCACTATGAATCAGTGAAAAACAGTGGAAACTATAGTTTGAGAGGTGGAGGACAAATTGCTTACTGAGCTGTAACAGGAGGGAACGAGGATACAGTAGTACACATTTGAAACAGGAAGCAACTGTATCTGCTGTAATATGGCAAAGTAATCTGACATACCCATGCTTTTTAGTACTTTGAAGATCACACATTTTATCCTTGTTTCTCTGAAAGTCTTTGTTATTAAGTTACCAAAATACACTGCATTTCAAATTTTTACAATGCTACTAATCAAGTATTTTTCTGGCACTGTACATTTTATAAAACTTTAGTTAGAAAAAATCAACAAGAGAACTCTTCTAAGATATAACAAATGAATAAGGTAATAAAGATCAGAAAGTTGGTGTCTTTTAAACCCTTATATTTTAATTGATAACTATTAATAGCAAGTAAAATTAAGATCACAAGTATCTTTCACCATCCATATCCACCTGGTTCCTGAATTTCAGGTAATGAGTGAGTTGCTAGGATGAGAATCAAGAGAGATTCACAGAAATTGCTGCATATTGATTTGGTTCTGGAGGTTGAATAGCAAGAGTTCAGACAGCGAAAGATAATTGTATACTATCATCTAATAAGAAAAGAAAACCCGTCTTTATTCTAAGTAACCACTAAAGATAGGGCAAATTCAAAATATGAGATTGAGTTTATTTTAAAAACTCAGCAAACTGCTCAGTTTGTACATCTGACCTCTAAAAGCACCTGTCACCACCTGGTAAATAATCTCATTTAAGCAGTGAGCACTCAGCACTGGACTCACTGTTGGAGTTTCCTTGGAGACAGGACAGAGTCCCTGCTGCTCCTGGGGAGATGTCATTGAATTACAGACACCAATCAGTTAAAGCTCTTCTAAAAAATTCAGTCCAGCATATTAAAAAAGGAAATCCTAAAGTGGGCATCATTCTTGCATTAAATAATGGATATTTAAGTGCTGTGTTTTTCTACTCAGCTACTGTGTACCCTTTCCCCAAATCCCTTCCTCAGGACCAACCCTGAAGTGTTTACAGCTTACTTTACCAAATATTTTCTAGCAACATACAATAAGTCCACTTGCATCTGAGTTTAATGTTTTGGTTCTCAAACGTCATTTGGGCTAAAAGTGGTGCTAAAAGTGGTAAAGTTTCTCTCAACTCAGGCTTACTGGCCAAAATCATTGAAAATAACATAGAGCTTTCTATTTTGCTTCCAAAGATCTAAAACTGACCTACGGTGGGCACATTTACATAAAACTCAGGCCAATGTTAAAGTTTGAAGCTAATGTTCATTTCATCTTCTTACAGTATTGAAATCAGAAAGGATGAACCCAAGAAGGTAAATACAAATAATTTCTTATTCTTTACCCATATGAGATAAAATTTTACTTAGATTGTGCCCATGATGTTTATAGCCTAAGTGAAGGTAAACCCTACACAAAGAGATGTAAAGGTCACTGGAAATCAAAAAGGGGAAAGGGGAAGGGAGAGGGGGAATGTGTACAAATTTACCTAACAGGGGTACAGTGAACACTATTCAAGTGAAAGG